TGCATAATGGAAATAAAGTCTATTATTAGCATTGTGGAAATAGTTTCTTAAAAACAATGATGGTGCACAGTTTAACAACATACTAGCGAGGAAAAGAAAGGGGAGGGAAAGTGAGATGGGATATATAACCAAATAGTCACTGATAGAAATTCTACAGCAACAGTGAATGAACAAGAAAAGAAAAGTACTGCATTTTTGGTTCCAGAGACTTAAAACGCCCGAATGGAAGACACACCAGAAGTATGGACGTTCAAAACTAGAGGAGAAAAGAATAAAGACAGAATGAGAGGCAGATAGTGAGATAAAAGAGTTAGCGGTTGTTCATGATCAGAGCAGCAAAGGAAAGAATGGAATGCTGTACGTGTAAACATAATAAGTCAACGGGGGACTGAGAGCACTGGACACAAACACACACACAAACTCTGACAAAAAAGAAAATAGAAGAATGCAAAAACAAATGTTGTGCTGGTGATTGTTTTGTAACAACATCATCACGAGATCAGTTGCCATTGAGCCGGTTAGCATTTAGCTCGAAGCATCACCCTGCAATGTAATCATTTTCTTTTTTGCCACAAAGGCCTGATCTTTGACCCTACGCTATACTCACTGACTCCACAACCCTCCCAAAACACGCTGGCGCTAGATCGGGAGCCTGGGTTCGGATGACATGACCCGGTCCTCAGGGGTATCGCCGTGGCGATTGGGTATGACACACTACTGGTGAGGTGTCTTGTTCCTGCCTGCTGGCTGCTCGAGTCACTGATTCTTATTACTGATTAAACACATTTTTGTTGAGCAGGGTGGAAATTCTCAGACTTTCTATGTGGGAACGTAGCAACAAAACTTTGTGGTATGCTGTCAGGTTAGACCTATTTAGGAGGCCTGTATGCACCAATGCTAAAGAACTAAAAGGCCTCGGAGGGATGGAAGAGAAGTCACGCATGAAGACGTCTCCTTCTCCACCTGCCCCAAATGGAAATGGAAATCAAAATGGAGATGGGAATCCAAATAAAAATAAGAGGTCATCATCTGCTTCTCTTCAGACGTAAGAGGGGGGCTGGTGGGAATAATGGAGGCTAGGAAGCCCGACAGGCAGGGCAAGCCGGCTTATTTGTTAGCTGGCTTCCTGTCACGCTCCATTAGCTGTTGTCATGTCGCTGCATGGCTGGAGCTGCTCATGTCTGCGTGCGTGTTTGTGTTTATGTGCCCTGTGTGTGTCTAATAGCGATGGGCGTCGGACCAGAGAAGATGGTGGAGGCCATGTAGGCCAGTCCAAGCCACGTGGAATGTGATGGCTGCCGTCCCACGACCTTCCAGTGCTGGATGTGATGTTGTCTGCTGCATCGGCCCGGCTTACTGACCGACTGGACACATTCCAACACATCAAACAGCATCCTCTGCTGCGCCTCTGCCTGCCATCTCCGGTTTCTAGCTTCTCGAACTGAAATAGGCCTGCAACTAACACAGATTTAAAATCAGCTATTTATTGGAGTCCATATATGAAAGAAAAAAGGTTCATCACAGTTGCCAGAGGTCAAAGCAACTAGTTTGAAATTGTTGCTGACCAACAGTCCAACATTTTAAGGATATCAGAAGGAAACAAATCTGAACATTTGACAAGATGAAACAAGTTGGCTTTTGTGTTCTGGGTGGTTGATCTGACAAAAAGAATCACTGTGGGCTCTTGAAACTTATAGTCGAATGAATTATTAATAAACATAATAGTTTGTTGTTGCCTTATTTAGTGTCATAGAGCTGTTGCTCGTACTTGAGGGGGAATAAAAGAGAGGTTGGAAGGAGGATGCAATGAAGCGTTTGGATGCATCCTGTAACTAGTGTTTCAGCCGGTGTCAAGTAGATGAAAGAAGAGATGAGATGGAAATGTTTAGGTAGAGTCGGAAATGGAAGGTTTGTGTGTATGTGTGTTTGTGTCCTCCAAGTATCTAAAATCTTTTTATATGTATGTATGGATCCATTTAGTTTTGTAAGGTGTGAGACATCTCTTCCCCTGTTCTTTGTCCCACTCTTCTTCCTTTTTGGTGTTCGTGAAAGGTTTCAGGAAACATCGCACTTGCAGGGTGCAGAATAACTAGGCTTGAATCATGCATGTGGACTACATGCTAACTTCTGATGGTCATCCAGCCTGTCCGCTTTTATCGGCCACATGCAGTTTGAAGTGGACCTGACATTTTGGCGCGTAAGCGCTACGTGTAGCTCAACGCGCAGACCCCAGAATACACAGCAACAGAAACCATCACCATCAAAGACGGTGAGGTTTATCCGCCACCTCTAAGCACTCCTTCCTCTCTTCGGCTGCAAGAGCTGCGAGCCAGCTTTGCCACAAATCCGGTAAACTCATGACTTTTGGGTGTTTATTTGTCAAACTTTTGTTTAATCCTTAAACAAAGTCCCTTCAGAAGGGATGTAAGTCCTCCTCCAAGACGGCGATGCTTATGACCTCAACATAAAGAAGCTTTAGGCCGCTCCCACTCAACAAGTACTGTATGTCAAAGCAAGTATATATCCTCACACACACACACCCACACACACACACACACACACACACACACACACACACCCCACTGTCGTCCTCCATCCATTCCCATCTCCGCCATGCCTCGAGTGCCAAGTTACACAACAGGGATCGTCTTCCTAATGCGAGTGCTCCAAGAGAAATTTGTCACAGTGTCGCCTTTTGCTCTTTTCAGGCTCAAGCATCCGCCCATTACGTTTAAAACACAAAAGTTATCCATTTCTCGTAGAGAGAAGAATTGTCTTGATAGGTCCCAGAACCAAGCCAAAGCCAAATCTAGATTTACATATAAACCACAATAAATAGGTCCAACTCTGTAATGTGTAAAATCTTTCTGCAATGAATGAATCTAATGACCTTAACATGTATTACGAGAGCAATTTATCACTATATATATATATGTAAACGATGACGACAACAACCATCAGTTGTATTCTATTTACCTTGATTAAAAACAGAAAAAAAGCAAATCTGAAATGAGAACTATTTAGTACACTTTATTTGTGATTGATCAATAATAACTGTGAATTAATTTGTTTAACATTGATTTACTGCTTCATTAATGAACAAATGAATTCAGCAGCATTCTGTACATCACTCTTGACAAACACTGCCATAAGTTTACATTGGCGGTGGAATACAACAGTGTACTTGCATCTTTAGAAGTTTGATCTTTCTAACATTTCCTTTGCCATATCAATCTCTTGTGAGCAGCCAACCAATGCTAATTATTAACCCTCAATTATGCACTTGTTTATTCAAAGCAAGATCTGCTGTGTCTAGTATCTGCAGCTATCCATGTATTACCCCCAAAGATCAACATCCTGTCTGATCCTTGGCGCACACTTCAGCTTGCGGCATTGAAACGCGGCTCTGACCGCGGCCCATTCCAATCCTTCCCAAACTTCAGAACGGATATCGCCATCACGTTTGTAGGAAATGCTCCAGAGAGAGAAGATGGAAATAAAAAAATGTGTGCCGAGCTATTCTCAAAGTGACATGCGTTGTTGCTGTTGGCACATAAAACAGCAGTTTGTGTATGAGTGTAGCGCTTTGTTGCTACTTGCCACGCAACAAGGGGCCGCTGTGTTGTTCTTAGTTACAGTCAGACGGCTGTGACCCAAACGACAGTCGAGTCGGGGACAAACTAGCCGAACACATGGACAGTGTGTAAGAACATACACGTATAAATAGAAATAGCATTTCCCTCTATCCATTCACTCTATATCTGTATCCCCCTGCCTGCTCCTTAAATATGAACCTCACCCTTCATGTCCAACTGCCCATTTAACAATGCCAGATTTGGTTCGTGCCCGTTTACCTCTGCCTCTCCGCGCCCACTGTGCTGGATTTGAGTGTTCCAGTCTGGGGCCTGGCGCTAACGTTGTGTGGAAGGCAGCGGCTCGGCCTGATCGTACTTGGCATAGCATCCATGACTACCTGAGTCATCCAGTCTGCCTGCTCCTCGCCCTCCAGCACCTGTCAAATCGAGCGCTTTCCGCGTTTGCACACCGAAAGAGGAATGTGGGCATGGCCTGATTAAATCTCAATGGATATGGCTTCTAGTGCTGGCAGATGAGAGGTCTGGACACACATCACGACTTTGGCCGATTCCCACTTGGATTCACCAATCAAAACGGAGTCGGAAACGAACTAACAGAAACATTACTCTCCTAGCATTAGAAGGGGTGGCTTCTGGGCTGTGGATACATGTGCTTGACATGTATTGTGAAATGAACTGTCTCTAGACCATTTATAACGATGCTGATGTGTGTGTGTGTGTGTGTGTGTGTCTTTGTTCTGTATGTATTTTCATTTAGCTACAAACTATGCCATGTGAGCATCGATGCCTTCTGACTTTGCAATTAATCCTCACCAACGTTTCCCAATGGAAATCTACAAATGCAGCTGATCAAAATATGACACGACTGCTCGTGGGGGTTGCATAGAAGCCTTGTGGCGCCCAGAGGCACCGTGGTTCAATGATGCCGCACGCTGAGGTGCTTCATGTGGCGAGCTGTTGTCTTGCATCGCTGCTGAAATGCTTTACGGCTGCTGCTGCTGCTGCTGGCTAGTGTTGACTTTTCTTGACTCAAATGAAGAGACAGTATGTGAGTGTGTGTGTGTGTGTGTTATTGTTATTGATGCCACAGATGTTGCAAGTGTGTATCCGAGAAGAAGCGTGTGAACGATTTGCTATTAATAGCTGGAGTGTAAGCGTGCATAATGCACATGTATGTAGGGATGCCATGATTACGGCACCATGCAACAATGAACTACTGTACAATCAGACTGAAGAAAGCAGCCAAGGATACACAGACTGTGACGGAAACAGAGAGAGAGAGGACACAAAACATGGAGGCACTGAGAGGGTGGAGGGGTGGGGGGGTGGCGGCGCGGAAGAATGCTAAATAACAGATAGAAAGAGAGACAAGCACGCAAATGATAGATAAGGAGGAGGTGTTACCTTTCGGGGGACGAGGATTTCTCCGAGTTCACGGACATGAGCGGTGCCTGTTAGCCGCTCGCTGGCCCAGGGACCACAGGAGACAGCGGAATAGAACAGAAAGCTGCTTTCTCTCTTCTCACCCTATCTGTCTCTTTGCTGTGTGTCTGGGTATAGGAGAGGAGAGGGTAACTGCCTCCCCTCTGCCTCCTCCTCCTCCTCTTTTACCTCCTTTCTTCTCCTCTGAGCAGAGGAGAAGAGAGGATGGAGGACAAGGCTCCGTGGAAGGGTAAAAAGAGCAGCGACTGGCTTAAAGATTGTGCAGTCTGTCTACATTTGTGTGTGTGTGTGTGTGTGTGTGTCTGCGCGTGTGTGAGCTGATAGCGGGAGTAGCAATGTCAGTCAGGCGCCCCTCCTCATGCCCCAGCCTCCTCTCTCCCTTTCCTTCCTTTCTTCTCCCCTTGTCACCTTGCCACTTTCCCCTCTCACACTGAAGCTCCCTTTTGGTCTTCCTCGTCCCTTTGTCTCCTTCCTCTCTGGGTGTCGCCGGTTGATCTTGGGTGATGAAAGGAACAACACAAGCTCTAGATCCACAGTGTGTCTGTGTATCCCTCCCTTCCTTCTGTCTAGCTGGCTCTATCAGGCCTTCTGCAGCTCTGCACAACAACAGAGTCTAAGCGAGCTGGAACATTCCACTCTCGTTACAGGCAGGGGGGTGTTGGCTTGTCAGAGCAACAGAAAGATGTGCATCTTTCTCCTTGTAGCATACTGACCTCCCCCTTCTTTCTCTCAGAATAAGTCGCCCTCTTCTACTCTCTCTTTCTATCTCCCCCCAATTGCCTTATTACGACATCCTGTATCTCAGGGCAACGCCGTACAGATCTGCCTTGATGCCCCCCCCCCCATCTCAGTTCTCAGGCCCCATTTCCATCTCCATCATTCTTGATGCTGGATAGTGTGTATATTACTTACTGTATATGAATGTGTGTGTGTGTGTGTGTGTGTCTTTCAGTCCGCAGATGGATCTTCGTTTACATGAGTGAACAGCTCACAGAGAGGTCGCCGGAGGGTTTGCCATGGCGGGGGTCTGCCTCCCTCTACCAATCTGACCTCAATATTAGCGTGTGGGTGTGTGAATGTATGAGCGCATGTCTTCTGTGTGCATAGTTGTGTGTGTGGAAATGCAGTGAGGTTTAAAAGGACATCCTGAGGTTAATGTGACTGACTAGTCATGCAGGGAGTGTCCAGGGGGAATATATACCGTGGAAGTGATACTGTGTTTTTATAGGCTCTTCCTCTAAAATACAAGATTACTCAAAAGATTTGCCATTAGTCGGTGAGACTTCAAACAGCAAAGGCGTGCGGATGAACGGAATGGGTCAAATATGGGTTCAATACAGTAGGAAAGAAGTTGACTTTCATACAATGAAGCAGCTGTCCCTAATATCTGTTTTTAGGTCATTGCAGGCAATGTCGCAAATGAATGAGCATGGTTTTTGCCATTTTTATGGTTATGGTCCAAATACAGATGCAAGAAACATCCTTGGGAGACAGAAAGAAAAAAGGAACACAATCGTCCCCTTTCTCTTCGATTGCCATACAGTTCCACTTTCCCACATAAAAGGACCACATTAGGCACACATGTCTCTGAGCCAAACTATTGTCCTCATTCTCTATGGATGTGGGCCAATGGGGGGTAAAGTACACACTCGGTCTCAGCACATTCAGGCAGCAAGAGCAATATTGAGCTAATATGAGAGGTCACGCTGCACTTCTGTTAATCTGTTTACTTCCCCATAACCATTGGAAATTGCATCTGACCTGCATGTTGTTGAATGGAGTAAAAAAAAAAAATGTAATTAGTAGGGCTGAAGCTATTTATTCTGTTGCAGTTTTTACAGAAAATGCATTGTCAACCGTTTTTTTTTATCATTATTGTGTTATTAAATTTTTTTTTAAAGATCTGGATCCCAGTTACGTTTCTTTTTTTCTTTAATAGAATCCATCCATCCATCCATCCATCTTCAACCGCTTATCCGGGGTCGGGTCGCGGGGGCAACAGCTCCAGCAGGGGAGCCCAAACTTCCCTTTCCCACATCTACCAGCTCTGACTGGGGGATCCCAAGGCGTTCCCAGGCCAGTGCAGAGATATAATCTCGCCACCTAGTCCTGGGTCTTCCCCGGGGCCTCTTCCTAGCTGGCCGTGCCTGGAACACCTCCCTAGGGAGGCGCCCAGGGGGCGTCCTCACCAGATGCCCAAACCACCTCAACTGGTTCCTTTCAACGCAAAGGAGCAGCGTCTCTACTCAGAGCTCCTTATGAATGGCTGAGATTCTCACTATCTCTAACGGAGACGCCAACCACTCCCCTGAGGAAACCCATTTCGGCCGCTTGTACCCGTGACCTAGTTCTTTCAGTCATGACCCATCCTTCATGACCATAAGTGAGGGTAGGAACGAAGATTGACCAATAGATCGAGAGCTTTGCCTTCCGGCTCAGCTCTGTTTTCGTCACAACGGTGCGGTAAAGTGAGTGCAATACCGCCCCCGCTGCTCCAATTCTCCGGCCAAACTCACACTCCATCTTCCCCTCACTCGTGAACAAGACCCCGAGGTACTTGAACTCCTTCACTTGGGGTAAGACACATTCCCTACCTGGAGTAGGCAATCCATCGGTTTCCTGCTGAGAACCATGGCCTCAGATTTAGAGGTGCTTATCCTCATCCCGACCGCTTCACACTCGACTGCGAAACGCTCCAGTGAGAGTTGGAGGTCACAGACGGAAGATGCCATCAGGACCACATCATCTGCAAAAAGCAGCGATGAGATTCGCAACCCCCCGAACTGTAGACCCTCCTCCCCCCGACTACGCCTTGATATCCTGTCCATGAAGACCACAAACAAGATTGGTGACAAGGCGCAGCCCTGGCGAAGGCCAACCCCCACCGGAAACGCCTTCGACTTACTGCCGAGGACCCGAACACAGCTCTCGCTTTGGGCGTACAAGGATTGGATGGCCCCAACTAAGGACCCCCTCACCCCGTACTCCCACAGCACCTCCCACATTTCTCTGTCATCCAAGACAGCCCCCCAACACCCATTGCTTTTAGCATCTCTGGACGGATCCCCTCCACCCCCATCGCTTTGCCACTGCGGAGTTGTTTGACTACCTCAGTGACCTCCACAAGGCAAATTGACGATGATCCCTACTCCGCCTCCAGCTCCGCCTCTACCAAACAGGGCGTAGTAGTTGGATTCAGGAGTTCCTCAAAGTGTTCCTTCCACCGCCCGATAACCTCCTCAGTCGCGGTCGACAGGGTCCCATCCTTACTGTACACAGCTTGGACGGTTCCCCGTTTCCCCCTCCTGAGGTGCCGGATGGTCTTCCAGAAGCACTTTAGTGCCGCCCGAAAGTCCTTCTCCATAGTTACCCCGAACTCCTCCCATACTCGCTGCTTTGCCTCCATCACGGCAGAGGCTGCTGCCCTTCGAGCCTGTCGATACACTGCAACTGCCTCCGGAGTCCCACCGGATTTCATAACCTGGAAGATCTCCTTCTTCAGTCGGACGGCTTCCCTGACCACCAGTGTCCACCACGGGGTTCGAGGGTTACCGCTCCTTGATGCCTTGAGACCTTGAGGCCACAATTCACTGCAAGTTTTGAACATACACCACTCTGGTTAAATATCCCCTACCTCCACAGGAATGTGAGAGAAGCTCTGCCGGAGGTGTGAGTTGAAAATCTTTTGGACTGGGGCCTCCTCCAGACGTTCCCAGTTCACCCTCACTACACGCTTGGGTTTAGCGGATCTGTCCCGAGTCTTCCCCCATCCTCTGACCCAGCTCACAACCAGATGGTGATCAGTTGACAGCTCTGCCCCTCTCTTTACCGGAGTGTCCAGAACATGCGGCCTCAGATCAGACGATACAATTACAAAATCGATCATTGATCTTTGGCCTAGGGTGCTCTGGTACCACGTACACTTATGAACATCATTATGTTCGAACATGGTGTTTGTTATGGACAATCCGTGACTGGCACAGAAGTCCAGTAACAAACAACCGTTTGGGTTCAGATCAGGGAGGCCATTCCTCCCAATCACGCCTCTCCAGTTATCTCCATCGTCGCCCACGTGCGCATTGAAGTCTCCCAGTAGGACTATGGAGTCCCCTACTGGAGCCCCATGCAGGACTCCATTCAGGGTCTCCAAAAAGGCTGAATACTCTGAGCTGCTGTTTGGTGCATATGCACAGACAAGTCAGAGTTTCCCCCCCACCACCGGAAGGCGTAGGGAGGCGACCCTTTTGTCCACCGGGGTAAACTACAATGTAGCAGCACTCAGCCGGGGACTTATGAGTATCCCCACACCCGCCTGGCGCCTCACACCATGGCCCACTCCGGAGTAGAATAGAGTCCACCCCCTATCCAGGAGTTTGGTTCCAGAGCCGAGGCTGTGCGTAGAGGTAAACCCCACCAGATCCAACTGATAACGCTCCACCTCCCGCACAAGCTCCGGCTCCTTCCCCCCCTGAGAGGTTACGTTCCACGTCCCCACAGGTGGTGAGCCCATGGGGAGTAGAGTCTTTGGGTGCCGTGTCACTCCTTCGGGCTGTGACCGACCGGGCTCCACGGCAAGCCCGGCCACCAGACGCTCGCTGTCGGGCCCTCCATCTGGGCCTGGCTCCAAAATGGGGCCCCCGGGCTTCCTCCGGGCCGGGTAACTCCTTCCCCCTCAGTTTTTTCATAGGGTCTTAATATAATTCTTATTTTAATATTCTGGGGAGCAGAAATTAATATCCCAATATTTTCTGAGAAGCACTTCTGTCACTAGGTCCAGTTGTCACGGGTAACAAAGCTCATCAATGTTCTGTCCCTGATTTTGATGGGTGCCGTGTTACAATATTCATGTTCAACATGTTTACAAAAATGTAAAATCTCATTCACGCAAAGACAAGCACATGCACATACCCACGCTTACAGTACACAAACGCATACATCGGCTCACATAGGGTTTAAATTTGCAAATTCACAGGCTGGTTTTCGTTCTATTTTCCAAAGGAGATGGAGCAGAAGAAGAATAAGAAAGATGGGGGAGGGACAACGTTGATGACTCTCATGAGCAGATATATTTTGGGAGCCAGTATTGAGGCTGCCGGGAGCTATCTTTAAGCGGCCTAGTTCTCCTCACCGCCTGGTGGATGCTGAGGAGAGAGAAGGGGTTAATGTGTGCTCACACACACACACACACACACACACACACACACACACACACAGGTCCCATTGCAAATTGCTTCGGGACAAACAGTACACTCACACACACAAATGGTGCTGCAGACCGAAGTTTTAGCAAAGCACAATTCCAAAGACAAGGAGACAAGTGCATACACTGTGGCCTGTGTGTGTGTGTGCGTGAGCTAACACAGATGGGCGAGAGGCGCCCACTTCTACAGTGATGCTGCTCTTCGGCCTTGTTGCTGCCGTCTGCAGAGGAAACGCTGCCCTCAAGTGGTGGGACACACAAGAACAAACCAAAGTGGTTCATCTTAAATAGTGTGTGTGTCTGTGCATGTGTGCGTTGAGAGGGGTCAGTGTCCAGATTGATTGACATGCTGGTAGCCTCAGGTTTTTTTTTTTCTTTGCTACAGACGTGCATA